GATTAAGCGCAAACCTCGCACCGTTGGACATAAATTGAAGACGACTTAGGCTGTTTAGGAGTTCCATAGTCTTTGCAAGCGCGATTCCATTTAGGAGGATGTGAACAAAAAGCACATTCTTGCGTTTCATACTCTGCAAGCGATGGGAAAGACGTGAACTGAAGAGCAGGTAGCTCGTCTTTTAAACTCGTCGCAAAAATTTTGTTCGCAGAGCTGAAAATTTTGTTTCCAGACCTTCAGCCTCCAAACACGAATACGCATCGCTTAGCCAGGAACTGCCTAGCGCTCACGCCACGGTCCCACGGCCCAAGCCCCAATCGCTATGGAGAGCGCGTCCTTCACGTCCGACATACTCGTCCAAGACGCCGCCCCACTGCTGAGGGGAGGTCTGTGTTTAGGGTGTTCCCGAGGTTTTTTTCGCTTCTTTCTCTACTGAGCAGCTACTTATGGGCCATGACTTGAGCACCAAGCATCCTAACACTTGATCGCGGGAATCGTCTGAAGGCAGTTGCCACGATAAATCCCTAAAGTAGGATTAATGCGCCTGGCTGGACGGTGTTCTGCGCCCTTGAGCAGGTGCTTCGCAGCGCCTTCTCTAGGAGAGGTACCAGGTACCCTTATGAGGCCCTATCAAGCTGCAGCATACCGACCCGGACGCTCACCGTACCCGCCCGCCTTCAAATGGACGATACCTGATGCTCGTATTGCTTCACTTGCTAAGTGAAATATGATGCAAAGGGATTAATGTGAGGTGGCCGCGGTACTGCATGGATATTTGAGTACACACGTGTAGCCGTTTGTACCGTAGCTGTTGTTGGCAAGATGTCTACGGGAAACTCGTCCGAAATTGCTCGTTGAGCCGTTGAGAACGAAGGCTTTTCTTCGCAGGTTTTCGACCGTTTCACTTCGTTTTTTCCCATTTTCCCACTATATAGCACTCTGCTGGCATTACAGACCGAGTATCGAGGCATATGCATTTGAGCTGCAGTTGTGGAAGTGGTGTAGCGGCAAGTTGCACTTCTTATCACCCTCCCTGTAAATTGTGAAGGCTTACCCGGGCGGGGGGGGTGTATGTAGTACGCCTGAAACAGGAATGTCAGGAAAATTTTGTAATTTTTTTTTATTTCGAGCTTTCCAATTGCTGATGAGAACGATTAATAAGGGTATGTAGTACCCACAATCAAGCGCTGTATTGATCGACCGCACTTTGTATCTATATCTATAGGTCTATGTATTGTATGGGCGTTATGGCGCGGACCGCAAGTATAGGCGTTTGCTAAGGAGTGCAGGATCTGCAGGGATGTGCCCTATCTGTTATGATTCGACCAACAGCGCGCGTGAGCAACCCAGTGATTTAAAGGGTTCCGTTTCCCATTATGGAGCGCGCCTGGCGAAGCCAGGCCAGCTCGGCGAAGCCGAGCTAAAGAGAAGGAGGAGAGCTCGGCGTCAGCCGGGCGATCCGACTGGTAACCAATTATTCGAAACCAGTCGGATCGCCCAGCTGTCGCCGGGCGCTCCTCCTTCTGTGACATGGCCCGGCTTCGCCGGCATGCGCGGATTTGCCGCGTGCTAAGTTACGGATCGTTGACCAACCACACTGTTCAGAGGAATGTTCTGCATCAGCCAAGAACTGAAAAAAAGCAGCGCCCGTTTCCGTCAAGACGCAGAAGCAGCAGCAGCGCCCGCCGCATAAGGAGGAGCGCCGGCGTTAGCCAGCGATCCGACTGGTACATTCACAACCTACAGGGGAACAGAGCGGCCTTTAGGTTAGCTCTGGAGCACCACTGATTAACGCATTCTCGTCTCTCGAAGCGTCTTGCTTTGGAATGCACTCCCGCATTCAGCAGTGGAACCTTTAAATGGCCCTCACTAAGGTTGTTGATGGAAGATAATTGTGGTAAGAGTGATTAAGTCAATTGCTGCTGTTCATAACATCTCTGTAAACAAACCCCATGCATTTGGAATAGAGCTAGCTTAGCGGTCGTACATGATGTCGTTACTAATAAGCAGTGAGGAATGAGTTCTGTTGGAATCATTGAGATCGTTATACTTGAGTCATATGATCTTATTGTTGTTGTGAGCGGTGTAGCGGATTTTCCCATGTTCACTCGTCACTTTCAGCTCCTACCACTTGCTATCACTTCCGTCGAACAATATTCCCGTCACCTTCATATCACTTCATATCACCCTATATCGCTTCTCGAAACCAAGCTCTCACTGTTGCTCTAACCTGCGTTACGAATATGGTGATCCTCCCCTTCCGAGACCCCTTACCGGATCTTATCAAGTGTTATCACTTTCTGTCACCCGTCAAAAATGTCCCCGTCCCACACCCTATCACCCGGCAATAATGTTACCCGTTCCACACCCTTTATCACCTCTCGGATCCAAGGTCCCACTGTTGCCGTAACCTGCGTTACGAATTTGGATCCTTCCCTTCCGAGACCATCTTATCGCATCTTATCAGTTGTTATCAGTTGTCACTTGTCAATAATGTTCCCGTCCCCCCCCCCATATCACTTCTT